GAATTCGGATCCTGCAATGATTTGCGCACACCGAGCCGTCAAGAGCAAAAAATCATCAATAGCTTCTGCTCGATTTTGCGTGACGCAACTTGCGCAACTATTCGCAAAGATTCAGAAATTTCATCTCTTATGCATGGTTTGCTTCCGGTTACACAGAAGCCCACCCCGGCCATTTCGAAAATCCGCTTCAGTACTTTTTTTCGCCTTCCAGGTTAGGCAACTGTAAATTTGGTGACTGCACTCGATTATTTTTCATCAAATGTGCTCATTGCGAGAAGTTGCTCTGTTTCGAGCACTTTGTTCTATCCTATCATAGATGCGTATAAATGTCTGGTTACCAAAAGTGTGTCAGTGAGACTCTGTAACGATTTGAAATGTTAATTTGCAGCAGAACTTATGTGAAAACTCAAAGCACATTGTCACTCACTTACGTAAGATAGCTGACTACCAGTCATACCAGCGGCTAAAACCTTGGTGAAAGAAAAGTTGCGGAAAGCCCAAATTTTCAGCAGTAGAATATGATCTGAACTCCGTACCTGTGCACGGGATACCCCTTATAGCGCAAAACAAACATATTCTAGACTTGCAAAAATGTTAAACGGGAAAAGGGTTCGAACCCTCGACCATCTGCTCCATATGCTCCGCGCTTATCCACTACACCAGACGACCACACCTGTGGCCGTATTCATCAACGAACCCTGAGGGTTAAGCTTACCCTCCAGGGTTAGTTTAACCCTCAGGGTTCATTGGCCGTATTCATCAACCATAGGCTAGGGTTTACCACGGAACGCGATCTAGCCGTATCGATCAATGAACCTGTGGCCGTATTCATCAACCCTGAGGGTTAAACTAACCCTGGAGGGTTAAGGCGTCAATTACGCGTGCGCTGTGCAAACTCACATCACAGAATGCCTAAGTACGTTGAATTCACTTTATACCTCTATTCTTTCACAGTTATAGTAGTATAGTCAACGAATAAGCTTCTAACACTAGTTTTTATAATACAATACATCTCTAGCATACTTGTGCAGCATCCAATCTTACAACGTGAGTTTATTTTCATGTGTGCAATTGTGCAAGTAAGTTCTACTTTTGCGCAGTTCGTTTTATACCGGGCTTGTGCTACTCTTTTGGGGGCCAATGCGTGTTATTATGAAGGGGTTCTTCTGTCTTGGCAATTGTCAGAGTGGAATGCCATTTTTCCTCGTCGCATTCATTTGTCCCAAAGCTAGAATTCTTTTTCTCGCAAAGTCAGTGTTTCATGTACTTCGAATATGAACATAAAACGAAGTCGAAACTAAATACTATAACAACAACCAATACTAAATACTACAATACCCGTTGTTCTTTTTCCATAAAATATTAGATGCTAGTAAATGTTTGTATGAAGTGTTAGAATAAAGTTAACCTTGCTCTGAGCTAGGGTTAAATTAACCCTGATGAATCACGTAAGTTTAACCCTCCAGGGTTAGTTTAACCCTCACGGTTCGTTGATGAATACGGGTTTGTCGCTTTCGGGGTAAAATTAACCCTCAAGGTTAGATTTAACCCTCAGGGTTAAGCCTACCCTGTGTTTCATGAATACGGGTTAAACGCTTTCCAGGGTTAAACTAACCCTCCAGGGTTAGTTTAACCCTCGGGGTTCGTTGATGAATACGGCCACTGGTTTTCAAGTGCGGATCCTACTTAACGAAACTTGACATGTCAACGAGCAACCGAGGCTCATAACTCCTTTTAGAGAGCCGCTTGGCAGATAATGGATACAGATTTGAAATCAGCGTCTCACGCTGATTTAGATGATATATAGCTTACCACATTTCGCACTTTCGACTCTGGGTCCGCCCCTTGTTAGGAACTACGGAATGTTTTGATTCCTCAAGTGCTTGTGATCACTTCTGAACTATTCAGAAGACTAGACCACTGCGAATTGCTTTAGCCCTTGAAGCACGATAGCATACTATTGAACTGCGTGTGTAATAGCATTTCCTAATTGAAAGGTAATCCTCGCACGTCGGAGGACAGGACAGAAATATCATAGATTTCAAAAGTGTTGATCCTGTTAAGACTGACTGCTATCAGTTTCGTTTTACAACATTGTGATTCTCGAAAACGGTTTTATGTTGTATCGTCATTATAAGTACTCCAATCAAAACTACTGTCGTATCACATACCTTGACGACAAGGTGAATGCCAAAAGAGTGAGCCATGAATTGTTTCTTAGGCCAAAGCAAACTTCAATCAAACCTTCTACGAATTCAACCTTTGTAGAAGTTTTGATTCCTGTGAATTTCAAAACCGATATCTAAAGCTAGTTGTCATTTCTGCCAATCGTTCCTCCGCATCAGAATCCTACGGATGTCAAGCTTGCACAGATACATACTCTTCATTGATACGCTCATATAAACAGTTGCTGTATATTTTCATGGAAAAAGTAGGAAGAGGATAGTGCAAAATAGAAGGTTGTTTTCAAAGACTTTCAAGCAAAATCTGACATTTTTTAAGAAAATAGCTTGTAAAAAGGCTGAAAATTCGTGGCTTTACTTTTAAATGATTTAGAATTTTAGAATGCAGAGTGGAAACACTCCAGCATTTCTTTGTGAAAAGCAACCATCCGTTCCCTCAATATTGAGCTATGGCAAAAATACAGCTATGTGCCAGTGGCGGTCGCAGGATTTCGGACCGGGAGGGGGGGGGGGGAGGGCGCGGAAAAAATTTTTTTCAAATGAAGGTGCGTGGCGTTAGCCATGCACTCCAAAAAATTTTTGGGGTACTTCTCAAAGTTTTTGCGGGTCCCCAACCACGCCCCCGAAGAAAACTTTTTAGAAGGCTAATTTGAATTTTTAAAGAATTTTGAAAATTATTCTAATTATTTACAAAGATAAACAAGTCGTTTGCACACTTTTATCTTATATATAAAGCTGAATGTCTGTTTGTATGTATGTCTGTCTGTCTGTCTGTATGTATGTATGTATGTATGTGTGTACGTATGTTCCGAATAGAAAATTCCATTTCTGAACCGATCCGGACCAAACTTGGCACACATACACTTCGGGCCCCGGCGGGTGTCATAGGCTACTTTTCGTCATCGATCGATATCGATTTTATCGATTTTTATCGATTTTTTTGCAAAGTTTGAGCTACGGGGCTAGGAGTTCGCACAGGGGGGTAATCAGCATGGGGATTCCGAATACAATATTGGTTTTCGGGATTATCGATTACTTTTATCGATTTTATCGATTTTTTGCAAAGTTTGAGCTAGGGGGCTGGGAGTTGGCAGGGGGGTAATCGAGCATGCTGATCATCCCCAAGGGGGGTGATCAGCATGCTCGATTACACCCCTGTGCCAACTCCCAGCCCCCTAGCTCAAACTTTGCAAAAAAATCGATAAAATCGATAAAAGTAATGGACGATCCTGAAAACTAATATTGTGTTCGTAATCAGCATGCTCGATTACCCCCTGTGCAAAATCCCAGCCTCGCATGTCGAAATTTACAAAAAATCGATAAAATCAATAAATGTAATCGATAATTCTGAAAACTAATATTGTATTCGGAATCCCCATGCTCACTTCCCCCCCTGTGCCAACTCCTAGCCCTGTAGGTGAACTCTGCAAAAAATCGATAAAAATCGGTAAAATCGACATAGATCGATAACGAAAAGTGGACTGTGACACCCGCCGGGGCCCGAAGTGTATGTGTGCCAAGTTTGGTCCGGATACGGCGGAGCCGGGTAAGCCAGCTAGTAATCCATATAGGTAAGTTTCAAAAATCTCGCGACCCATTCTCGGGGGGGGGAGGGGGGCGCCCCCCCCCCCACCCCCTTGGACCACCACTGCTATGTGCGTATAATTTTTACATAGAAAGCTGTTATGCAAAGAGCTCCCCGTTCAATAAAAAATTTACATCAAATTTGAGTGATCGCTGCCTATAATCTCAAGAGGTGGACGAAAAAAAGCATTTAATTAGTAAAGTTTGTAATCTAAGCAGGCAACAGTGATTCTTGTTTTAGAAGGATCAAAAAAACGCAGCAAGCCTACAAAAATGTAGATATTCAAAATGTTTATTCTCTATCATAAACGGACTGATATAAAATGTGCATTTTTCCTTAGACGCATGAAATTGAACTTACCACTGCGAATGTGCTCCTTACACGGAGTTATGCCATGTATGTATGTCAATATGCTCAAGCTAGCAAAATCGTAATTGATCTTGAATAACCGTCAGCTTTTACACCACTGTGAAAACAAAGATTGCACGATGAGAAAAAAAAGAAGGTCAAAGACAGTTTATTGACATATGTAAGAACTTCCTGTGAAAACGGAAGATGTGCTCGTGTGTTTAAAAATTTTCCAAACTGAAACTGCAGCAGTAGACTAATCCAAACCTAAGAAGAAAACCAAAATGAGAAAAGCAAAAGAGAGGAACCAAATATTGCTCCATTTCCAGGTAGCATACTCAGTTCTTGTCATTCAACTGGACTCGGGTCAAGCTTCAATTATGTGCAATCCTTGTCAACAGATTGTCAAATTTGAACACGGCACGGGGCTTTATTGCGCCTAAGCTGATTGGGAAAACGCACATCCTCAGCACAGACTGTATCGAAAAAAGAAGTAGTTTCTCAAGTTTTGTAGGGGAATTTGTAGCAGTTGCCTAGAAAATGCAGCAATGAGTATAATTAGTTGTGTGATATTCAGAGTCTTTACCGATTTTTGATACAAGTGTACGACGTTGAAAGAAATTTCAAAAGTATGCAAGGTGCAGAATAACCATTTAGTATCTAAACACTTGCGGAAGCTGCACATTGTCAGTTTCAAAAGCATTCAACTATATTTTTTCCTCTCTTCCCATCTTCATAATCTTGCTTCACTTCCGCGCACACGTCATAATTGCCGCAAGTTTTCATCAATCTCTAAGTCGCAGATTTCCGGTGAAAAACTAGAATTGCATGAATTTTTGATTTCCCACTTCAGTACTTGCTTTTTTTCCAATTGCCTTTCTGATATGGCGTTTAATCGCTTCGAATCAACAAAGCCGTTTGAATTCCCAACAGCTTGCTTTAGGAAAATGCGCTGTTGTGCATGCCTTGGGTTGTTTCTCACTTGCCTGCTGTTATTGTCGTGTTATTCACATGCCAGGTAGGAACTGCTCCATTATCCTCAGGTATCCTGTTATTTTTTATAAGATATCTAGGTCGACATCGGATTCGTCTATGCAGCTAGTTAAACGACGTATGGTGATACGCGTTCCATTCATGCAAAACCCAGACTCGCAGCAACTCAGCCGCATTTTCCACACTTCATTTACCGAGCAAAAACGAAAGAAACTCTACTCTGGTGAACGTTTTCGTGAGAACAGTGAAGCTTTCTACTAAACGGTCGTGAGTTTCACCTTGTATGCGGTATTTGCTTGTTCCTTTGGGTGATTAGGACATTTGTTTGTGGAGAGAATATCCAGAAGGCTGTCGGCTGATTATACTTGTTCCACAATTTTCACATCAATTTGATATAGTTCGTTCTCGAACGTCATCTCTTGCACCTCCGGTCTCGTGCAATGTGCCATGTGTATGGTTTCCTCGATAAATATCTGTTGTAGATCATTATCGCACTTTCATTTGATCACAGCTTTTCGAAGTTGAGTTTTCTATAAACTAAATTTTACAACGGTACCTAGAAACGAGCATGTGTTCAAACATCTAATAAACGAGAGGGTAAAGGTGTAGGTCCACTCTAAAATGCAATTCATCACGCGTAAACATTGAATTAGGATTTGATCCAGGTGTGTGTTAGCTTATTGTTAGTAGTTAAAACGAGTCTCGATTTTATTGCATTTGTTCAAGGAGATTGGAAAATTCTGAAAAAAGCTGGAACAATGGCCGGCCAACCTATAGGTCCACTCAAAATCTTTGTCCACGAAGCATTCTTTGACTTTCAAAAATTTTGTGATGTACACCGTTAAAATGCAGAACAGTAACTTCACTCAAGATATGTCACACGATCGACCAGATAAACCATCTTTTTTTAGCTGTAAAATGCATTCAAGCTCAATTTGCTTCCGTGTTTGCTTAAATGGAAATATTTGCAGGGTTAGCTGATACGAAACCAAAGAGGATTCTTGTATCTTCCAAACACTCAGCATCACATGAGATAAAATCTGAATTCATACTGTTTGGTGAAACCCGACATATACCTATCACCTCATCTAAGCTTGATTTTTTGGAAATCCTTATGCGATGACCTTGTGAGCTCGCTATAAAGTAAACACAGCTCTTTTACCTTAGAATAAATCTGTACATTCTAAGCGGAGATACTCGAAAGCTACTTAGCTTTGCAGAAAAAATTCGAAGCTCATTGACTGCAGCAAAAAGTACAGAAGGCTCAAGTGTCATTCACTTATAAATCATTACAAGCGTTGCAAGTGCCAGACAGACAGAATGTAGGCGCTCAAATGGCGAAGTCGTAAAATTTTTTTGCCAGTGCTAGAAAAACCTGAAGGGCTTTTGCAGTCGATATGTGTAGGATAGCCCGCCACAATGCCCACAGGCTAAAAAAAAGCAGCAACTATGGCATACGGGCTCCCTACTGCACTACACTACAATGCTTTTATCCTATTTTGGGGTTACAAGAACATCGCAGAAAGAGTATTTTGAGCCCAGACCGGTAAGGTGAATACGGGTTTGATTGGAAACTATGAATTTTTGAACTATGAACTATGAACTATGAAAAAAATTCCTATGTGCTTATGAGGAGTTGAAATGGAGGAAGCCTTATGCTTCCGTATAAGCTATCGCGTTGCAAATTTCTCACTTCATTACAGTTTACGGAAACAAAATAAGTGTAAGCCTTTCTAAGCAGAAGAAGCGAATAGCCGTTCCGTCGTACAACACTCTAAAAATACTTCTCACACTTCGAGGCATATGCACGACTTTTCGTATATTCTTTAGCTGAATGAAGATTCCAAGTGGACGTATATTTGCCAACTTTCATCTAAGTTTCGTCAGGAGGGCGACGCACGAGCACTGCATGAATTGGTCGTGTTACATCCATTGCATTACCAAAGATTTCCGACAAACCTGCTAGGGGTTTCCCGAAGGCATCACGCGCCGTTGTTCGCATGGCGCAAACAGTGAGCTAAGGCTTCCTGCTCCCGTACGAGTCATGCAAGAAGCGAGTCCGGGAATCTCAATCAGCGACGACCAACATCGGAACTCTAACGAGAGCGGTAGAGAGTGATGCTGACCTAAACACTCATTCTCATGACAATGATTTGATCTAGAATCTGACCAAGAGTGTGTTTACCTGCCCAGTGTTAGTATCCAAAATGAGTCCTCTTTCGTTGCTTTATCAAACAAAGAAATGATTTGAGGTTACCGTGATCTTTTCATAACATGAACATGGAAACATCCCGGAATTCCAATTTCATATCTATGTTTTCGCTATCTGCAAAGCTATTCTAGAGCAAGTTATGAATATTTTTCGATGACAAGGCGGCACTGTTGCAGTGTCACAATGATCCTTGCAAGATTTCCTTGCCTTTTAGTCATTGCGAACGGATAAGTTAATACGATGTGGATCATCAATGACGCTGCTTGGTAGCATAAAGCAGGCAACTCATCAGCATTGATGATTGACAGCTTGGTAGCACATAAAATTTTATAAAAAAACGTTCATTACTTGTTTGAAAAAGCGCTTAGCAATTAACGAACATAGAATTGAAATCAGCGTTTCAAAACGAGTATGAATGCACATTATACATGTTTAAAATCTTTTCCACCAAAAGTAAGCAGTTATCTGACCCCTTATGTGAGAAAAGTGTAGGATAGTTTGTGCATATTCGGTTGCTGCATAAGTTCTGTCCGATTTTTTTGCCTTATGTTTGAAGCTGTTTTAAGAGAATTTCAATTCTAATGCAGTATTGTTAGTATCATTAGAAAGTGCTTTCCCTGCTCTTTTTAACCCATACCAATTTCAATGAATTTCTTAGTGTACGGAGATTTCAGGCCTAAAATCTCTAAGTGGGCGAGATACGTTCTCACCCTAAAATATGTTCTTGCAAAGAAATCTCCATAATACGCCCTTCAAGTCAAGTTCTTTCATTGGCTGCGGAATGATGGTGTTGAAGGCTAGTATATGCAGAAGTTCGGTTCCATGAAGAAAACGTCTTGCTAGTAAAATTCATTGTCGAACATTAATTTTTTGTATAAATGTATAGATGTTTAACAAGCAACAACTTTTTGCGAATAGAAGTAATCGATAAGCTTAAAGTTGGAGGTGCTAGTGCAAAGCAAGAGCTAGCAGGGCCCATCCACCAGTTCCTTTTCGGCGCTCAAGTCAGTTGTAAAATTTTCATAATTCGTAAATAGGCATGCACACATGTGCTGAAGCGAGGTCATAAAGTGGCTTCTTTTTTGCTCGGTTAAAAAAATCTCTCGGCAGCACAGACCTTATGGACTCTTTTATGTAGCATAGTAATCTACGAGAATTTTTTCTAGATAAGATGTTTATCAATTCTCATACGGGAGCGTTGCCATGTCAAAAAAGACAGGTTTGAAGAAAAACGCTGTAGAGTTTCTGCATTCTTGCTTCTTCCTTAACAAGGATTTGCGCAAATCTCAATATCTAGTAGCGAAGAAACTGCTCAACACAAAGAATCTAAGATCTTAGAAAATAGTTGACTTTGAAAGAAGTTATGACATTTTGAACTCAAACAATTCAAATCGGACAGAACTTATGCAGCAACCTAATATATCTAGATGCAATTGTAAGAACTTTATAAATAATTTAGAGTTGAAATAAAAAGTCACCAAGAAGTTCTAATTTGATAGATAAACAGGGCAACCTCCCCAAGTGACAGAGAGAAAGCAGAATGATTAAGGAAATTTTTTAGCCTGCTTTTTTACGAAACAAAGACTAAATTATAAAGGAACACCCTATCACCTTATAACTATCAGATCGCCTTGCTGCCCACGTTTTTCAAGGTTCCTGCAGTTACAGCAGCTCCAGCAAACGTTCGCAAGAATACTGAAAAGAAAATGTAGCGGCAACGTAGCACCTTGCATAACTTACAAAAAAAGCGTAACGTTGAAGTACAAAATTTCACTAGTGTAATGGCAACGTGTAGTAACAACTATTCTATTGCTGGATATCGAGAAGGTTATCAACATTGTACCTGTATAACATCAACAACGCGTCAACAGCGACAATGATGCTGACACAATGCTGTGCAAACTGGTGCCAGGCGGTCGAAATATTAAGGCACACCATTGTTTCATATTTGTAAATGACACCGCGATATTAATTGTGCATAATGTCTTTGATCGAGGGAGTTGGAGCTTAATTAATTTTCGGCTCACATAAATACCTTAGCCACCAGACAGTGGACGGACGGATCGTTGGTCGACTCATTTCCTTTCTGAATTTCACTTCTTCTGTGAGATTTCTTCTCTCCCTCTATAGCTGTTGCCTTTTCTAATGTGTCTTTTGTGGGTTAGATTTCTTGTAGTTGTCTTGTAGTTTGTAGCCCTCTGTCTGCCTAATAAATCTTTGGTATTAATCTCTAGTAGTTAGGCTCCTCTAGCCGCATAGTTAGCCCCGGGCCAATTCCATCGAACTCGCGCGCGCCAAATGCGGCACCGGGGTTACATGGAGGTTTCAGCGAGATCATCGCGGTCTAACAGCATTCGTACCATCCATGTGGGGTCAACCAGTCGGAATGCACGAAGCTGTCGTATTTCTTGGTAATGTCTTGCGCAGATGCTGTTGAAATCGATTCGCGCAGAGAAATCATCATTTGAGGTGGTGTGAGGGCTACTTCGAGAAGGCCGATATCTCGGTGACGGCGTGGTATCGTCTGCAGGCAAAGGGTGCAGTCCGGTGCGGGTTGGCTTAGGCTTAGGTTGTGTAGTTGATGTGGTAGATAGCATCGAATTTGCTGATGTCTGACGAAACAATGGAGTTGACGGTGTTGTTGCTGGCGCTCGCCGCGAAAGTTGTCCTCAGTAGCTGAAAGGCATAGAATGGTGTTGCATCGACCGAAATGAGAGCTAGACGGGACTTCTCGAAGTATGGAACCGTAGCATTCTGAGCCCTCCTGGGATCGAATTGCAGATCTAGTTGGCCGAATTCCTCGTTTAAACATTCGTCAAATACGTCAGAAATATCGCGTTCAAGATCTTGGCGGATTTGAAATTCGGCATAAGTTAAAGCTCTACTTCGACGGATCCTCTTGAATAAATCCAACTGGTTCTTCCCGTATTCTCCGTATCTGACTGTACGTAGGGGGCTGATGTGCGGCGCCTCTTCAGCATAAAGCTAGATCCTTCACCGAAAATCTGTGTTGGAAATATTCCATCGCTTGATCTCTTCCAGGAGGATCGGCTCTGAAATGGGTCTAACATGGGATGGTGGTACCTGTTGCACGTCTCTTATAAAGTGGAGTCAAGCGATTAATGGTACAACTTCTTTAAGGACCAGCTCGTACGAAGAGATATGTCCTTCGGCGTCTATCCATTTCCGCAAATCCCGCTTCGATCGTTGACGTGAACTCGCTAGAAAATTCTGCACAGATAGACCGGGTGG